AAATTAAATTAGGGCACCCTCAGTTGCAAAGTGCACATAAAGGCAACAATATTTGATTCTATCGGACTTACATTTTACAGATGGATGTTTTTGGCCTTGGTTCACATCAGCTTTTGCAGAGATAAAAATGGGAAAAGAGAGGACCACTCTCGATCGTCACCAGCTCTCAGCACAAAGTGCAACCATAGTGACTCACGGGCTCTTTTTCGTACCATGTTGGAGCTCTATAGGTTCACAAACCCCGCTTTAAACACAATTACAGTGAGTAAATGAGGATGATTACCAAAAAGACTAAGATATTCAAGCTTTATAGATAAGTATTATTCCTTTCGTCAGTGGTGTATGGCGCTTTGAGACTCCCCAATTTGCTCAGTGAATGGCGGTATATAAAGTAATATATGTTACTATTACTACTAGCGGTGATCAAATTAATAGCAGCATAATAGATTGATCTATCTGTTAATTATGAGAGAAAAGGTTTAGTGAAGATAATACATGTTTTTCTCTCACAATATCTGTCGATCTACATTATGGTAGCAGTTATGTGCAAGATATCCCCAAATGCTGTTTTGGGTCAATCTTGTCTTTTATCGTGGATATTTTGTTGGCCAAAGAGAAAGGCCTCCAATAGTCTGCCACCGAGCTGCCTATGGGCTCCTTGTCCCTGTCGCTCGAGCTTTTCACACCTGCTCTGAGCCGTGCTAAAGGTGACATATTTCAAAATGAACAAAACCACACTAGTTACTGACGGCCTGTACCTTTATGCATCTATATTTTTTGTCAGGATAAATTTTTAAATATAGGAGTCCATTTTAAGGCGGATCTCGCCCCATTGCTACGACTGATTGACCCCCCATCTACTAATGGTCATTTTGTGACTGATCACTTCTGTCGTCCAAGGCCAAGTATCTTCACAGGAACGTCGAATCCAAAGAACCCAATGAAATGATACAAATGATGCAATTGTACAAGTGATGTTACCAGAGTGCGTAGAACCTCAGCCTTAATTATACCGAGGAGGGGATAGTTCCAGGTTCCAAGATGAAAGTTGTTTTTTGTAATTACAACCCTTCTATTATTAGATCAGTCTGCTTAATTGCCCAATAAACTTGTAATTATGCAGCTTAAACTAGAAGTGAACCAATGCGGCTTTAACTCATCGCCAAAATGACCCTTTGAGTGGATGTAAACAGAAACCCGCCATATGGGTGTTTATGCAGAATTTAGAGATAATGCGGGGTGCATAATGTAATTAATCATCGATGGAATCTTAGACATGCTCTTTTCACGGCCCACATGTACCACAGTCTGGTAAGGAAGTTAATAGCAATGCTACCTCGAGTGCAACATAACATGAGTTAAACAGAATAGAGTGCAAGATTTGGGAAAACAGCTACAGAGAAAAAAATGGTAAAAGTTTACAGAAGTGGCTGCTGCTGGTGATTGGCTGAAGCTCAAACTGTTACATTACTATGGAATGTGTGCGATTATTTTCACTCTCCATCGTTAAAGCTGTGTTTCTAAACAATTCATTATCCATCAGCATTTACAATTGTGCTCGAAATGCAGTTCCACAGCCAGGCAGCAATAGCACTTGTTTGTTTGTATTTTGAAGATTATGAATGAAGCCAAACATCTTGCGACTTGGGTGGCATCTCTGACTGCCACCCCCCTGACCCAGAAATGGATTAAGGGTAGAAAAAATGGATGGTTGGATGGATTGAAGCATTGTGTGTTATATAACTGTTTTTTATATGTTCAAATTTATGTTTCATCTGCTTTGGGGAAGATGTGCAGTTCAGGCAAGGTTGCTCAGGAATTTACAAGAACTGGAGCCTTTCTGCCAAGAATGGGTAACTCTGCTGTCAGAGATGGATAAAGAACCTCATCCAAAACAACCACAGGAAGAAAATTATGAACCAGGCAGGTCAAACTCAGGCTCATGGGCCTAATGCGGCCCTCGAGACCATTTTTAGTGGCCCCTGAAATGATATTAAATTATAATTAATAACTTTCAGCATTAATGGTTAGGGGTTTACCCAAGCCATGTTTTAAACATTTATTCTCTCAGGAGAAACAACCCCCAAATTGAAATGGTAATCTAAGGATTAACCCTAACCCGATACACCTTTATATTGGATCCATATATGATAAGGGAATTCCTTCTATTGTCTTTTTATTTGGCCCCCGACCAAAATGTATTTGCTAAGCTGTGAAAGGGGGGAATGGAACTTTCTGCTCATGTGAAAAAGAGAAGTTTCAGTTATCATTATCATTTGACACTATCAACTATAAACATAAAGTTGCCATAATCTCCCAAATATGTCCAAACAAATACATCTCTGCCTCGGTGTGTAAACATTCAAGAACAGTTGTATATTTTCTCATATCTTGTGTTCAGTTTGAATGCTTTCCCACCGGTGCTAAAATACCTCTTCGATCTTTTGCTCCGTCTATGCTTTTTTCATTTCAAACATCTTTGCGTTTAATCCGCCGGCTTTATATCCTTCTGTCGAGCTGTCTGGCTGCATCTATTTTCCAGACTGACCCATATCTAATTCCTGGGTGTTTACAATCCAAAACAAAGTCTGAATAAATACATAAAGTTAAGGCCTCACCGCCACTTTGGGAGTTCTATGTGCACATAAAGGGCTGATGTGGAAATGGAGAGATTTAGAGAGCTCTCCCTTTCTATTATCATTATCATCATTATTATTATTATTATTATCAGTATTATTATTACTACTCTATTTATTATAATCCTGTCGGACATGGATCTTATAAAACATTGTCCCAGTGACCAAATCAGATGCTAAATTATGTGTAATCAGCAAAACTGCAATAAAGTTGAGATGGCACGCTACAATAGCACACTACAATAGATTGCTTCCATAGAATGCTACCAAAAGCAGCTTATCCAATAGTATGCGCTACAATAGGAATTGCGTACATATAGAAATGCCCTTCAATAAGTGAATGGTGAACAATAGTATGATTGCAATTAGAATGCTACCCATTGCCTACGCTACAATAGCAATGCTACAATAGCACGCTACAATAGCACGCTACAATAGCACGCAACAATAGCACGCTACAATAGCACGCAACAATAGCACGCTACAATAGCACGCTACAATATAATGCTACTATGAATAAAGTGTCAACCAACAAAAATTTAATGCTAAAGCATTCCAAAACAAACACCTACACAAGAACACCAAAAAGGACACAAAAAGAAACAGGATTACGCACTCGGAAAATACTTGTGAATTCCGGAAAAATACTCAAAATTTGAATGACCCGTTACTTTGATTAGCATGAGTAACATCACGTGCAAACGCAGGGAAATGAGTGCTGGTGTTCAGGACTATGCAACATATAGAGAGCGACTGAAGTAAGGGCAGGGACCCCCAAGTTTCGTTAACAAAACCCCATATCCCCGTGCGAACGGATGCCAGGGGAGGGGAGGTGCCAGGAGAACCACAAGGAAATGCTTTTTGCCACCATGAGTGAGAAGAGAAGCACAACATTAATCTTACCTCTCTACTTTGTGATACATGACTTTCTGGGTGCATTGCACCTCCCCCCCCCCACCCCACCCCCACCCCCCCCCCCCCTATCCCTTTTAAACTATTATTAATTGTTCTTTTTCATATTAATGGAACTAATATATATTTTGCACACAGTATCCTTGTTAGCGTGTCTTAGGGTGTAGTTACAATCTTCCACCAGCCGCAAACTGGTGACCCACGATTCATGAAAAATTCATATTAGTCCCCCTTTTCTAAATAAAAAAAAAACCCCAACAAGTCATTCAAACCCGGTGGTGATCCAGCAAAGCTCTTATTTGTTATATTTTTCATCAATTACTGTCTGTATTGATTTTTCTCTTTAATCTATGATGCGTTGTGCGTCAGGTTGTTTGGTGCGGATAAGTGGGAACAGCTGCTCGCCTCTGGGATTCTCCTGATGTGTCGGGCTCTGTGGATTCCAACATGGAAGTCATTTGTTACTTTAGATCAACACTGGCATTTCAAATAGAAGATAAATGATTACCACTTTAGCAAATAACAACCTACAGCATATACTTATTCTGTACAAATATACTCCAATATATGTCCAAATGTGAGTTCACAACTCCTCACTCCTTCAGACTGGAACCCTTGGGGGTAGGAGGCTTGAGCCCGCAGCTGTCCCCCAAAAACTCATGCCCTACTACCCATCAGAACTTTGAATCACTTCTCTTTGAGAGTCCAAAAATATAAGTTTGACATATTACTATTGTTATTATCATTATTATAATAAAAATTTTTTTTTTCCAAACCTACTATATTATTCACAAGTCTGAGAGTCTGTTCTACTGGCAAACATCATGCACACGTTTTATAATATGTAATGTAATGTAATGTTTATTTATATAGCGCATTTTACAGACCAAGGTCACCCAAAGCGCTTTACAATGTTCGGAGTTCAGATATTGTTCCCAATCATTCCACACACGGTGATGACGGAAGCGAGTCGCCGAACACACTGGACCATCAGCCCCCAATCAACACCATCCATTCACTCTCTCATTTACATTCATAGATGAGAGAGAGACAGGAGGAGGAGCAAGTGCAAGTTTTTAGGGGTAGGGGAAACCGGAGCACCCGGAGGAAACCTACGCAGACACGGGGAGAACATGCAAACTCCACTTAGAAAGACCCTGTTCCGACCGGGATTCGAACCCAGGACCTTCTTGCTGAGAAGCGAGAGTGCTAACCACTCAGCCACCGTGCCGCCCCAATATTGTCATCAAAAACATCTGGAACAAACTGGGGTTACAGCTGGTTTGGAGAGCCCTGTGAGCAGTAGTTTTATCGACTCGAGACACATGGATAAGAATCTAGATATTTTTTCTTTTCTGTCGTTAACATTTTGCACTTGTATATTAAAATCACTTGTAAAAATCTGTGCACACAACTGAAAGCAAGTCATAAATGTCTCTCCCCTGTCCTCAAATGATCTCTCCCCTGCTCATGACCTTCTGTCTCTCCCCTGCTCTCCTCCTGTCTCTCCCCTGCTCCCATCCCTCCTGCTGCTCCTGTCGCTCTGCTCCCTCCTGTCTCTCCCTGCTCCCTCCTCCTGGTCTTCCCCTGCTCTCCTGTCTCTCCCCTGCTCCTCCTCGGTCACCCTCTCCCTGTCTCTCCCCTCCTCCTGTCTATTCCCCTGCTCCTCTCCTGTCTCTCCCCTGCTCCTCCTGTCTCTCCCCTGCTCCTCCCTGTCTCTCCCCTGCTTCCTCCTCCTGTCTCGTCCCCCTTCCTCCTGTCTCTCCCCTGCTCCTCCTGTCTCTCCCCTGCTCCTCCTCTATCTCTCCCTGCTCTCTCCCCTGCTCCTCCTGTCTCTCCCCTGCTCCTCCTCCTGTCTCTCCCCTGCTCCTCCTGTCTCTCCCTGCTGCTCCTCTCTCCTGTCTCTCCCCTGCTCCTCCTGTCTCTCCCCTGCTCCTCTGTCTCTCCTGCTCTCCTCCTGTCTCCCCTGCTCTCCTCCTGTCTCTCCCCTGCTCATCCTCCTGTCTCTCCCCTGCATCCTCCTGTCTCTCCCTGTCCTCCTGTCTCTCCCTGCTCATCCTCCTGTCTCTCCCCTGCTCCTCCTGTCTCTCCCCTGCTCCTCCTGTCTCTCCCCTGCTCCTCCTCCTGTCTCTCCCCTGCTCCTCCCTGTCTCTCCCCTGTTCCTCCTCCTGTCTCTCCCCTGCTCTCCTCCTCCTGTCTCTCCCTGCTCCTCCTCCTGTCTCTCCCCTGCTCCTCCTGTCTCTCCCCTGCTCATCCTCCTGTCTCTCCCTGCTCCTCATCCTCCTGTCTCTCCCCTGCTCCTCCTGTCTCTCCCCTGCTCCTCCTGTCTCTCCCCTGCTCCTCCTGTCTCTCCCCTGCTCCATCCTCCTGTCTCTCCCCTGCTCCTCCTGTCTCTCCCCTGCTCCTCCTGTCCTCTCTCTCCCCTGTCTCTCCTCCTCCTGTCTCTCCCCTGCTCCTCCTGTCTCTCCCCTGCTCCTCCTGTCTCTCCCCTGCTCCTCCTGTCTCTCCCTGCTGCTCCTCCTGTCTCTCCCCTGCTCTCCTCCTGTCTCTCCCCTGCTCCTCCTGTCTCTCCCCTGCTCCTCCTGTCTCTCCCCTGCCATCCTCCTGTTCTCTGCTCATCCTCCTGTCTCTCCCCTGCTCCTCCTGTCTCTCCCCTGCTTCCTCCTCTCTCTCCCCTGCTCATCCTCCTGTCTCTCCCCTGCTCCTCCTGTCTCTCCCCTGCTCCTCCTGTCTCTCCCCTGCTTATCCTCCTGTCTCTCCCCTGCTCATCCTCCTGTCTCTCCCCTGCTCACCCTCCTGTCTCTCCCCTGCTCATCCTCCTGTCTCTCCCTCTCTCCTCCTGTCTCTCCCCTGCTCCTCCTGTCTCTCCCCTGCTCATCCTCCTGTCTCTCCCCTGCTCCTCCTCCTGTCTCTCCCCTGCTCCTCCCTGTCTCTCCCCTGCTCACCCTCCTGTCTCTCCCCTGCTCCTCCTGTCTCTCCCCTGCTCCTGCTGTGGCTCCCCTGCTCACCCTCCTGTCTCTCCCCTGCTTATCCTCCTGTCTCTCCCCTGCTCCTCCTGTCTCTCCCCTGCTCCTCCTGTCTCTCCCCTGCTCATCCTCCTGTCTCTCCCCTGCTCCTCCTCCTGTCTCTCCCCTGCTCATCCTCCTGTCTCTCCCCTGCTCCTCCTCCTGTCTCTCCCCTGCTCATCCTCCTGTCTCTCCCCTGCTCATCCTCCTGTCTCTCCCCTGCTCATCCTCCTGTCTCTCCCCTGCTCCTCCTGTCTCTCCCCTGCTCCTCCTCCTGTCTCTCCCCTGCTCATCTTGTCTCTCCCCTGCTCCTCCTGCTGTGTCTCCCCTGCTCCTCCTGTCTCTCCCCTGCTCCTCCTCCTGTCTCTCCCCTGCTCCTCCTGTCTCTCCCCTGCTCATCCTCCTGTCTCTCCCCTGCTCCTCCTGTCTCTCCCCTGCTCATCCTCCTGTCTCTCCCCTGCTCATCCTGTCTCTCCCCTGCTCCTCCTCCTGTCTCTCCCCTGCTCCTCCTGTCTCTCCCCTGCTCCTCCTCTTGTCTCTCCCCTGCTCATCCTCCTGTCTCTCCCCTGCTCCTCCTCCTGTCTCTCCCCTGCTCCTCCTGTCTCTCCCCTGCTCCTCCTGTCTCTCCCCTGCTCCTCCTGTCTCTCCCCTGCTCATCCTCCTGTCTCTCCCCTGCTCCTCCTGTCTCTCCCCTGCTCCTCCTCCTGTCTCTCCCCTGCTCCTCCTGTCTCTCCCCTGCTCCTCCTGTCTCTCCCCTGCTCCTCATGTCTCTCCCCTGCTCATCCTCCTGTCTCTCCCCTGCTCATCCTCCTGTCTCTCTCCCTGCTCTCCTCCTCTCTGTCTCTCCCGTGCTCCTCCTCCTGTCTCTCCCCTGCTCATCCTCCTGTCTCTCCCCTGCTCCTCCTCCTGTCTCTCCCCTGCTCCTCCTCCTGTCTCTCCCCTGCTCATCCTCCTGTCTCTCCCCTGCTCATCCTCCTGTCTCTCCCCTGCTCTCCTGTCTCTCCCTTGCTCCTCCTGTCTCTCCCTGCTCATCCTCCTGTCTCTCCTCCTGTCTCTCCCCTGCTAACCCTCCTGTCTCTCCCCTGCTCATCCTCCTGTCTCTCCCTGCTCTTCCCCTGTCTCTCCCTGCTCCTCCTGTCTCTCCCCTGCTCCTTCTCCTGTCTCTCCCCTGCTCCACCTGTCTCTCCCCTGCTCACCCTCCTGTCTCTCCCCTGCTCATCCTCCTGTCTCTCCCCTGCTCCTCCTCCTGTCTCTCCCCTGCTCATCCTCCTGTCTCTTCCCTGCTCCTCCTGTCTCTCCCCTGCTCATCCTCCTGTCTCTCCCCTGCTCCTCCTGTCTCTCCCCTGCTCATCCTCCTGTCTCTCCCCTGCTCCTCCTCCTGTCTCTTCCCTGCTCCTCCTGTCTCTCCCCTGCTCACCCTCCTGTCTCTCCCCTGCTCCTCCTGTCTCTCCCCTGCTCCTGCTGTGGCTCCCCTGCTCACCCTCCTGTCTCTCCCCTGCTTATCCTCCTGTCTCTCCCCTGCTCCTCCTGTCTCTCCCCTGCTCCTCCTGTCTCTCCCCTGCTCATCCTCCTGTCTCTCCCCTGCTCATCCTCCTGTCTCTCCCCTGCTCCTCCTGTCTCTCCCCTGCTCCTCCTGTCTCTCCCCTGCTCATCCTCCTGTCTCTCCCCTGCTCCTCCTGTCTCTCCCCTGCTCCTCCTCCTGTCTCTCCCCTGCTCCTCCTGTCTCTCCCCTGCTCCTCCTGTCTCTCCCCTGCTCCTCATGTCTCTCCCCTGCTCCTCCTCCTGTCTCTCCCCTGCTCATCCTCCTGTCTCTCCCCTGCTCATCCTGTCTCTCCCCTGCTTATCCTCCTGTCTCTCCCCTGCTCCTCCTGTCTCTCCCCTGCTCCTCCTGTCTCTCCCCTGCTCATCCTCCTGTCTCTCCCCTGCTCCTCCTCCTGTCTCTCCCCTGCTCATCCTCCTGTCTCTCCCCTGCTCCTCCTCCTGTCTCTCCCCTGCTCATCCTCCTGTCTCTCCCCTGCTCATCCTCCTGTCTCTCCCCTGCTCATCCTCCTGTCTCTCCCCTGCTCCTCCTGTCTCTCCCCTGCTCCTCCTCCTGTCTCTCCCCTGCTCATCTTGTCTCTCCCCTGCTCCTCCTGCTGTGTCTCCCCTGCTCACCCTCCTGTCTCTCCCCTGCTCCTCCTGTCTCTCCCCTGCTCATCCTCCTGTCTCTCCGCTGCTCATCCTCCTGTCTCTCCCCTGCTCCTCCTGTCTCTCCCCTGCTCATCCTCCTGTCTCTCCCCTGCTCATCCTGTCTCTCCCCTGCTCCTCCTCCTGTCTCTCCCCTGCTCCTCCTGTCTCTCCCCTGCTCCTCCTCTTGTCTCTCCCCTGCTCATCCTCCTGTCTCTCCCCTGCTCCTCCTCCTGTCTCTCCCCTGCTCCTCCTGTCTCTCCCCTGCTCCTCCTGTCTCTCCCCTGCTCCTCCTGTCTCTCCCCTGCTCCTCCTGTCTCTCCCCTGCTCATCCTCCTGTCTCTCCCCTGCTCCTCCTGTCTCTCCCCTGCTCCTCCTCCTGTCTCTCCCCTGCTCCTCCTGTCTCTCCCCTGCTCCTCCTGTCTCTCCCCTGCTCCTCATGTCTCTCCCCTGCTCCTCCTCCTGTCTCTCCCCTGCTCATCCTCCTGTCTCTCCCCTGCTCATCCTCCTGTCTCTCCCCTGCTCCTCCTCCTGTCTCTCCCCTGCTCATCCTCCTGTCTCTCCCCTGCTCCTCCTCCTGTCTCTCCCCTGCTCCTCCTCCTGTCTCTCCCCTGCTCATCCTCCTGTCTCTCCCCTGCTCATCCTCCTGTCTCTCCCCTGCTCCTCCTGTCTCTCCCTTGCTCCTCCTGTCTCTCCCCTGCTCATCCTCCTGTCTCTCCCTTGCTCCTCCTGTCTCTCCCCTGCTAACCCTCCTGTCTCTCCCCTGCTCATCCTCCTGTCTCTCCCCTGCTCCTTCTCCTGTCTCTCCCCTGCTCCTCCTGTCTCTCGCCTGCTCCTTCTCCTGTCTCTCCCCTGCTCCTCCTGTCTCTCCCCTGCTCACCCTCCTGTCTCTCCCCTGCTCATCCTCCTGTCATCTCCCCTGCTCCTCCTCCTGTCTCTCCCCTGCTCATCCTCCTGTCTCTCCCCTGCTCACCCTCCTGTCTCTCCCCTGCTCCTCCTCCTGTCTCTCCCCTGCTCATCCTCCTGTCTCTCCCCTGCTCCTCCTCCTGTCTCTCCCCTGCTCATCCTCCTGTCTCTCCCCTGCTCCTCCTGTCTCTCCCCTGCTCCTCCTGTCTCTCCCCTGCTCCTCCTCCTGTCTCTCCCCTGCTCCTCCTGTCTCTCCCCTGCTCCTCCTGTCTCTCCCTTGCTCATCCTCCTGTCTCTCCCCTGCTCCTCCTCCTGTCTCTCCCCTGCTCATCCTCCTGTCTCTCCCCTGCTCCTCCTGTCTCTCCCCTGCTCATCCTCCTGTCTCTCCCCTGCTCATCCTCCTGTCTCTCCCCTGCTCCTCCTGTCTCTCCCCTGCTCCTCCTGTCTCTCCCCTGCTCCTCCTCCTGTCTCTCCCCTGCTCCTCCTGTCTCTCCCCTGTTCCTCCTCCTGTCTCTCCCCTGCTCCTCCTGTCTCTCCCTTGCTCCTCCTCCTGTCTCTCCCCTGCTCCTCCTGTCTCTCCCCTGCTCATCCTCCTGTCTCTCCCCTGCTCATCCTCCTGTCTCTCCCCTGCTCATCCTCCTGTCTCTCCCCTGCTTCTCCTGTGTCTCCCCTGCTCCTCCTGTCTCTCCACTGCTCCTCCTCCTGTCTCTTCCTTGCTCCTCCTGTCTCTCCCCTGCTCCTCCTGTCTCTCCCCTGCTAATCCTCCTGTCTCTCCCCTGCTCCTCCTGTCTCTCCCCTGCTGTCTCTCCCCTGCTCATCCTCCTGTCTCTCCCCTGCTCCTCCTGTCTCTCCCCTGCTCATCCTCCTGTCTCTCCACTGCTCCTCCTCCTGTCTCTCCCCTGCTCCTCCTGTCTCTCCCCTGCTCCTCCTGTCTCTCCCCTGCTCATCCTCCTGTCTCTCCACTGCTCCTCCTCCTGTCTCTCCCCTGCTCCTCCTGTCTCTCGCCTGCTCCTCCTGTCTCTCCCCTGCTCATCCTCCTGTCTCTCCACTGCTCCTCCTCCTGTCTCTCCCCTGCTCCTCCTGTCTCTCCACTGCTCCTCCTCCTGTCTCTCCCCTGCTCCTCCTGTCTCTCCCCTGCTCCTCCTGTCTCTCCCCTGCTCATCCTCCTGTCTCTCCACTGCTCCTCCTCCTGTCTCTCCCCTGCTCCTCCTGTCTCTCCCCTGCTCCTCCTGTCTCTCCCCTGCTCATCCTCCTGTCTCTCCCCTGCTCCTCCTGTCTCTCCCCTGCTCCTCCTGTCTCTCCCCTGCTCCTCCGCCTGTCTCTTCCCTGCTCCTCCTGTCTCTCCCCTGCTCATCCTCCTGTCTCTCCCCTGCTCATCCTCCTGTCTCTCCCCTGCTCCTCCTGTCTCTCCCCTGCTCCTCCGCCTGTCTCTTCCCTGCTCCTCCTGTCTCTCCCCTGCTCCTCCTGTCTCTCCCCTGCTCATCCTCCTGTCTCTCCCCTGCTCCTCCCGTGTCTCCCCTGCTCCTCCTGTCTCTCCACTGCTCATTCCTCCTGTCTCTCCCCTGCTCTCCTGTCCTCCTGTCTCTCCCCTCTCCTGTCTCTCCCTGCTCCTGTCTCTCCCTGCTCCTCCTGTCTCTCCCCTGTCTCTGTCTCTCTCCCCTGCTCTCCTCCTGTCTCTCCCACTGCTCCTCCTCCTGTCTCTCCCCCTCCTCCTGTCTCTCCCTGCTTCTCTCCTGTCTCTCCCCTGCTCTCCTCCTGTCTCTCCCTGGTCTCTCTCTCCTCTCTCTGGTCTCTCTCTGGTCTCTCTCTGGTCTCTCTCTCTCTCTCTGGTCTCTCTCTCTGGTCTCTCTCTGGTCTCTCTCTGGTCTCTCTCTGGTCTCTCTCTGGTCTCTCTCTGGTCTCTCTCTGGTCTCTCTCTCTGGTCTCTCTCTCTCTGGTCTCTCTCTGGTCTCTCTCTCTCTGGTCTCTCTCTGGTCTCTCTCTGGTCTCTCTCTGGTCTCTCTCTGGTCTCTCTCTGGTCTCTCTCTGGTCTCTCTCTGGTCTCTCTCTGGTCTCTCTCTCTGGTCTCTCTCTGGTCTCTCTCTGGTCTCTCTCTGGTCTCTCTCTGGTCTCTCTCTGGTCTCTCTCTGGTCTCTCTCTGGTCTCTCTCTGGTCTCTCTCTCTGGTCTCTCTCTCTGGTCTCTCTCTCTGGTCTCTCTCTGGTCTCTCTCTGGTCTCTCTCTGGTCTCTCTCTGGTCTCTCTCTCTGGTCTCTCTCTGGTCTCTCTCTGGTCTCTCTCTGGTCTCTCTCTGGTCTCTCTCTCTGGTCTCTCTCTGGTCTCTCTCTGGTCTCTCTCTGGTCTCTCTCTGGTCTCTCTCTGGTCTCTCTCTGGTCTCTCTCTCTGGTCTCTCTCTGGTCTCTCTCTCTGGTCTCTCTCTGGTCTCTCTCTCTGGTCTCTCTCTGGTCTCTCTCTGGTCTCTCTCTCTGGTCTCTCTCTGGTCTCTCTCTGGTCTCTCTCTCTGGTCTCTCTCTGGTCTCTCTCTCTGGTCTCTCTCTGGTCTCTCTCTCTGGTCTCTCTCTGGTCTCTCTCTGGTCTCTCTCTGGTCTCTCTCTCTGGTCTCTCTCTGGTCTCTCTCTGGTCTCTCTCTGGTCTCTCTCTGGTCTCTCTCTGGTCTCTCTCTGGTCTCTCTCTGGTCTCTCTCTGGTCTCTCTCTGGTCTCTCTCTGGTCTCTCTCTGGTCTCTCTCTGGTCTCTCTCTGGTCTCTCTCTCTGGTCTCTCTCTGGTCTCTCTCTCTCTGGTCTCTCTCTGGTCTCTCTCTCTGGTCTCTCTCTGGTCTCTCTCTGGTCTCTCTCTGGTCTCTCTCTGGTCTCTCTCTCTGGTCTCTCTCTCTGGTCTCTCTCTCTGGTCTCTCTCTCTGGTCTCTCTCTGGTCTCTCTCTCTGGTCTCTCTCTCTGGTCTCTCTCTGGTCTCTCTCTCTGGTCTCTCTCTGGTCTCTCTCTGGTCTCTCTCTCTGGTCTCTCTCTGGTCTCTCTCTGGTCTCTCTCTCTGGTCTCTCTCTGGTCTCTCTCTGGTCTCTCTCTGGTCTCTCTCTCTGGTCTCTCTCTGGTCTCTCTCTCTGGTCTCTCTCTGGTCTCTCTCTCTGGTCTCTCTCTCTCTCTCTGGTCTCTCTCTCTGGTCTCTCTCTGGTCTCTCTCTGGTCTCTCTCTGGTCTCTCTCTCTGGTCTCTCTCTGGTCTCTCTCTCTCTGGTCTCTCTCTGGTCTCTCTCTGGTCTCTCTCTGGTCTCTCTCTGGTCTCTCTCTGGTCTCTCTCTGGTCTCTCTCTGGTCTCTCTCTGGTCTCTCTCTGGTCTCTCTCTGGTCTCTCTCTCTGGTCTCTCTCTGGTCTCTCTCTGGTCTCTCTCTGGTCTCTCTCTGGTCTCTCTCTGGTCTCTCTCTGGTCTCTCTCTGGTCTCTCTCTCTGGTCTCTCTCTGGTCTCTCTCTGGTCTCTCTCTCTGGTCTCTCTCTGGTCTCTCTCTGGTCTCTCTCTGGTCTCTCTCTGGTCTCTCTCTGGTCTCTCTCTCTGGTCTCTCTCTGGTCTCTCTCTCTGGTCTCTCTCTGGTCTCTCTCTGGTCTCTCTCTGGTCTCTCTCTCTGGTCTCTCTCTGGTCTCTCTCTCTCTCTCTGGTCTCTCTCTGGTCTCTCTCTCTGGTCTCTCTCTGGTCTCTCTCTCTGGTCTCTCTCTCTGGTCTCTCTCTGGTCTCTCTCTGGTCTCTCTCTGGTCTCTCTCTGGTCTCTCTCTGGTCTCTCTCTCTGGTCTCTCTCTGGTCTCTCTCTGGTCTCTCTCTGGTCTCTCTCTGGTCTCTCTCTGGTCTCTCTCTCTGGTCTCTCTCTCTGGTCTCTCTCTCTGGTCTCTCTCTGGTCTCTCTCTGGTCTCTCTCTGGTCTCTCTCTGGTCTCTCTCTGGTCTCTCTCTGGTCTCTCTCTGGTCTCTCTCTGGTCTCTCTCTGGTCTCTCTCTGGTCTCTCTCTCTGGTCTCTCTCTGGTCTCTCTCTCTGGTCTCTCTCTCTGGTCTCTCTCTGGTCTCTCTCTCTGGTCTCTCTCTGGTCTCTCTCTCTGGTCTCTCTCTGGTCTCTCTCTGGTCTCTCTCTGGTCTCTCTCTGGTCTCTCTCTGGTCTCTCTCTGGTCTCTCTCTGGTCTCTCTCTGGTCTCTCTCTGGTCTCTCTCTGGTCTCTCTCTGGTCTCTCTCTGGTCTCTCTCTGGTCTCTCTCTCTGGTCTCTCTCTGGTCTCTCTCTGGTCTCTCTCTGGTCTCTCTCTGGTCTCTCTCTGGTCTCTCTCTCTGGTCTCTCTCTGGTCTCTCTCTGGTCTCTCTCTGGTCTCTCTCTGGTCTCTCTCTGGTCTCTCTCTCTGGTCTCTCTCTGGTCTCTCTCTGGTCTCTCTCTGGTCTCTCTCTGGTCTCTCTCTGGTCTCTCTCTGGTCTCTCTCTCTGGTCTCTCTCTCTGGTCTCTCTCTGGTCTCTCTCTGGTCTCTCTCTGGTCTCTCTCTGGTCTCTCTCTCTGGTCTCTCTCTCTGGTCTCTCTCTCTGGTCTCTCTCTGGTCTCTCTCTGGTCTCTCTCTGGTCTCTCTCTGGTCTCTCTCTGGTCTCTCTCTGGTCTCTCTCTGGTCTCTCTCTCTGGTCTCTCTCTGGTCTCTCTCTGGTCTCTCTCTGGTCTCTCTCTGGTCTCTCTCTGGTCTCTCTCTCTGGTCTCTCTCTGGTCTCTCTCTCTGGTCTCTCTCTGGTCTCTCTCTGGTCTCTCTCTGGTCTCTCTCTGGTCTCTCTCTGGTCTCTCTCTGGTCTCTCTCTGGTCTCTCTCTGGTCTCTCTCTGGTCTCTCTCTGGTCTCTCTCTCTGGTCTCTCTCTGGTCTCTCTCTGGTCTCTCTCTGGTCTCTCTCTGGTCTCTCTCTGGTCTCTCTCTGGTCTCTCTCTGGTCTCTCTCTGGTCTCTCTCTGGTCTCTCTCTGGTCTCTCTCTGGTCTCTCTCTGGTCTCTCTCTGGTCTCTCTCTCTGGTCTCTCTCTGGTCTCTCTCTGGTCTCTCTCTGGTCTCTCTCTCTGGTCTCTCTCTGGTCTCTCTCTCTGGTCTCTCTCTCTGGTCTCTCTCTGGTCTCTCTCTCTGGTCTCTCTCTGGTCTCTCTCTGGTCTCTCTCTGGTCTCTCTCTGGTCTCTCTCTGGTCTCTCTCTGGTCTCTCTCTGGTCTCTCTCTGGTCTCTCTCTCTGGTCTCTCTCTGGTCTCTCTCTCTGGTCTCTCTCTGGTCTCTCTCTCTGGTCTCTCTCTGGTCTCTCTCTGGTCTCTCTCTGGTCTCTCTCTGGTCTCTCTCTCTGGTCTCTCTCTGGTCTCTCTCTGGTCTCTCTCTGGTCTCTCTCTGGTCTCTCTCTGGTCTCTCTCTGGTCTCTCTCTCTGGTCTCTCTCTGGTCTCTCTCTGGTCTCTCTCTGGTCTCTCTCTCTGGTCTCTCTCTGGTCTCTCTCTGGTCTCTCTCTGGTCTCTCTCTGGTCTCTCTCTGGTCTCTCTCTGGTCTCTCTCTGGTCTCTCTCTCTGGTCTCTCTCTGGTCTCTCTCTGGTCTCTCTGGTCTCTCTCTCTGGTCTCTCTCTCTGGTCTCTCTCTGGTCTCTCTCTGGTCTCTCTCTCTGGTCTCTCTCTGGTCTCTCTCTGGTCTCTCTCTGGTCTCTCTCTGGTCTCTCTCTCTGGTCTCTCTCTCTGGTCTCTCTCTGGTCTCTCTCTGGTCTCTCTCTGGTCTCTCTCTCTGGTCTCTCTCTGGTCTCTCTCTGGTCTCTCTCTGGTCTCTCTCTCTGGTCTCTCTCTGGTCTCTCTCTCTGGTCTCTCTCTGGTCTCTCTCTGGTCTCTCTCTGGTCTCTCTCTGGTCTCTCTCTCTGGTCTCTCTCTGGTCTCTCTCTCTGGTCTCTCTCTGGTCTCTCTCTCTGGTCTCTCTCTGGTCTCTCTCTGGTCTCTCTCTCTGGTCTCTCTCTGGTCTCTCTCTGGTCTCTCTCTGGTCTCTCTCTGGTCTCTCTCTGGTCTCTCTCTGGTCTCTCTCTCTCTCTGGTCTCTCTCTGGTCTCTCTCTGGTCTCTCTCTCTGGTCTCTCTCTGGTCTCTCTCTGGTCTCTCTCTCTGGTCTCTCTCTGGTCTCTCTCTCTGGTCTCTCTCTGGTCTCTCTCTGGTCTCTCTCTGGTCTCTCTCTGGTCTCTCTCTGGTCTCTCTCTCTGGTCTCTCTCTGGTCTCTCTCTGGTCTCTCTCTCTGGTCTCTCTCTGGTCTCTCTCTGGTCTCTCTCTGGTCTCTCTCTGGTCTCTCTCTGGTCTCTCTCTGGTCTCTCTCTGGTCTCTCTCTGGTCTCTCTCTCTGGTCTCTCTCTGGTCTCTCTCTGGTCTCTCTCTGGTCTCTCTCTCTGGTCTCTCTCTGGTCTCTCTCTCTGGTCTCTCTCTGGTCTCTCTCTGGTCTCTCTCTGGTCTCTCTCTCTGGTCTCTCTCTGGTCTCTCTCTGGTCTCTCTCTGGTCCTCTCTCTGGTCTCTCTCTGGTCTCTCTCTGGTCTCTCTCTGGTCTCTCTCTGGTCTCTCTCTCTGGTCTCTCTCTGGTCTCTCTCTGGTCTCTCTCTCTGGTCTCTCTCTGGTCTCTCTCTCTGGTCTCTCTCTGGTCCTCTCTCTGGTCTCTCTCTCTGGTCTCTCTCTCTGGTCTCTCTCTGGTCTCTCTCTGGTCTCTCTCTGGTCTCTCTCTCTGGTCTCTCTCTGGTCTCTCTCTGGTCTCTCTCTGGTCTCTCTCTGGTCTCTCTCTGGTCTCTCTCTGGTCTCTCTCTCTGGTCTCTCTCTGGTCTCTCTCTGGTCTCTCTCTCTGGTCTCTCTCTGGTCTCTCTCTGGTCTCTCTCTGGTCTCTCTCTGGTCTCTCTCTCTGGTCTCTCTCTGGTCTCTCTCTGGTCTCTCTCTCTGGTCTCTCTCTGGTCTCTCTCTGGTCTCTCTCTGGTCTCTCTCTCTGGTCTCTCTCTGGTCTCTCTCTGGTCTCTCTCTGGTCTCTCTCTGGTCTCTCTCTCTGGTCTCTCTCTGGTCTCTCTCTGGTCTCTCTCTGGTCTCTCTCTGGTCTCTCTCTGGTCTCTCTCTGGTCTCTCTCTGGTCTCTCTCTGGTCTCTCTCTGTCTCTCTCTGGTCTCTCTCTGGTCTCTCTCTGCTCTCTCTGGTCTCTCCTCTGGTCTCTCTCCTGGTCTCTCTCCTGGTCTCTCTCTGGTCTCTCCTCTGGTCTCTCTCTGGTCTCTCTCTGGTCTCTCTCCTGGTCTCTCTCTGGTCTCTCTCCTGGTCTCTCCTCTGCTCTCTCCTGGTCTCTCCTCTGGTCTCTCTCTGGTCTCTCTCTCTGGTCTCTCTCTGGTCTCTCCCTGCTCTCTCTGGTCTCTCTCCTGCTCTCTCTCTGGTCTCTCCTCTGCTCTCTCTCTGGTCTCTCTCTGCTCTCTCTCTGGTCTCTCTCCTGGTCTCTCTCTGGTCTCTCCTCTGGTCTCTCTCTGGTCTCTCTCCTGGTCTCTCTCTGGTCTCTCTCTGGTCTCTCTCCTGGTCTCTCCCTGGTCTCTCTCTGGTCTCTCCTCTGGTCTCTCTCTGGTCTCTCTCTGGTCCTCTCTCTGGTCTCTCCTCTGGTCTCTCTCTGTCTCTCTCCTGGTCTCTCTCTGGTCTCTCTCCTGGTCTCTCTCTGGTCTCTCTCCTGGTCTCTCTCTGGTCTCTCCTCTGGTCTCTCTCTGGTCTCTCTCCTGGTCTCTCTCTGGTCTCTCTCTGCTCTCTCTGTCTCTCTCTGGTCTCTCTCTGTCTCTCTCTGGTCTCTCTCTGTCTCTCTCTCTGGTCTCCTCTCTGGTCTCTCCTCTGGTCTCTCTCTGTCTCTCTCTCTGGTCTCTCTCTGGTCTCTCTCTCTGTCTCTCTCTGGTCTCTCTCTGGTCTCTCTCCTGGTCTCTCTCTGGTCTCTCCTCTGGTCTCTCTCTGGTCTCTCTCTCTGGTCTCTCTCTGTCTCTCTCTGCTCTCTCTCTGGTCTCTCTCCTGGTCTCCTCTCTGGTCTCTCCTCTGCTCTCTCTCTGGTCTCTCTCCTGGTCTCTCTCTGGTCTCTCCTCTGGTCTCTCTCCTGGTCTCTCTCTGGTCTCTCTCTGGTCTCTCTCTGCTCTCTCTCTCTCTCTCCTGCTCTCTCTGTCTCTCCCCTGCTCCTCCTGTCTCTCCCTGCTCTCCTCCTGTCTCTCCCCTGCTCATCCTCCTGTCTCTCCCCTGCTCATCCTCCTGTCTCTCCCCTGCTCCTCCTGTCTCTCCCCTGCTCTCCTCCTGGGTCTCTCCCCTGCTCCTCCTGTCTCTCCCTGCCTCCTCCTGTCTCTCCCCTGCTCCTCCTGTCTCTCCCCTGCTCCCTCCTCCTGTCTCTCCCCTGCTCTCCTCCTGTCTCTCCCTGTCTCCTCCTCCTGTCTCTCCCTGCTCATCCTCCTGTCTCTCCCTGCTCCCTTTCTCCTGTCTCTCCCCTGCTCCTCCTCTCTGGTCTCTCCCTGCTCTCCTCCTGTCTCTCCCTGCTCTCTCTCTGGTCTCTCCCCTGCTCCTCCTGTCTCTCCCCTGCTCATCCTCTCTGTCTCTCCCTGCTCTCTCCTGTCTCTCCCCTGCTCCTCCTGTCTCTCCCCTGCTCATCCTCCTGTCTCTCTCCCTGCTCATCCTCCTGTCTCTCCCTGCTCCTCCTGTCTCTCCCCTGCTCCTCCTGTCTCTCCCCTGCTCTCCTCCTGTCTCTCCCCTGCTCCCTCCTGTCTCTCCCCTGCTCCTCCTCCTGTCTCTCCCTGCTCCTCCTGTCTCTCCCTGCTCCTCCTCCTGTCTCTCCCCTGCTCCTCCTGTCTCTCCCCTGCTCTCCTCCTGTCTCTCCCCTGCTCTCCTCCTGTCTCTCCCTGCTCCTCCTGTCTCTCCCCTGCTCCTCCTCCTGTCTCTCCCCTGCTCATCCTCCTGTCTCTCCCTGCTCCTCCTCCTGTCTCTCCCCTGCTCCTCCTGTCTCTCCCCTCATCCTCCTGTCTCTCCCCTGCTCCTCCTCCTGTCTCTCCCTGCTCCTCCTGTCTCTCCCCTGCTCTCCTGTCTCTCCCTGCTCCTCCTCTCTGTCTCTCCCCTGCTCTCTCCTGTCTCTCCCCCTGCTCCTCCTGTCTCTCCCTGCTCATCCTCCTGTCTCTCCCTGCTCCTCCTGTCTCTCCCCTGCTCATCTCCTGTCTCTCCCCTGCTCCTCCCTGTCTCCCCTGCTCCTCCTGTCTCTCCCCTGCTCCTCCTCCTGTCTCTCCCCTGCTCCTCTCCTGTCTCTCCCCTGCTCTCTCTCTGTCTCTCCCCTGCTCCTCCTCCTGGTCTCCACTGCTCTCCTCCTGTCTCTCCCCTGCTCCTCCTCCTGTCTCTTCCCTGCTCCTCCTGTCTCTCCCCTGCTCATCCTCCTGTCTCTCCACTGCTCCTCCTGTCTCTCCCCTGCTCCTCCTCCTGTCTCTCCCCTGCTCTCTCTGTCTCTCCCCTGCTCATCCTCCTGTCTCTCCCCTGCTCCTCCTGTCTCTCCCCTGCTCTCTCTCTGGTCTCTCCCTGCTCATCCTCCTGTCTCTCCCCTGCTCATCCTCCTGTCTCTCCCTGCTCTACCTCCTGTCTCTCCCTGCTCCTCTCTGTCTCCCCTGCTCATCCTCCTGTCTCTCCCCTGCTCCTCCTGTCTCTCCCTGCTCTCCTCTGTCTCTCCCCTGCTCTCCTCCTGTGTCTCCCCTGCTCCTCCTGTCTCTCCCCTGCTCCTCCTGTCTCTCCCCTGCTCCCCTGTCTCTCCCCTGCTCCTCCATGTCTCTCCCCTGCTCATCCTCCTGTCTCTCCCTGCTCATCCTGTCTCTCCCTGCTCCTCCTCTGTCTCTCCCTGCTCCTCCTGTCTCTCCCTGCTCATCCTCCTGTCTCTCCTGCTCCTCCTGTCTCTCCCTGCTCCTCCTGTCCCCCTCTCCTCCTGTCTCTCCCTGTCTCATCCCCTGTCTCTCCCTGCTCCTCCTGTCTCTCCCTGCTCCTCTGTCTCTCCCCTGCTCTCCTCCTGTCTCTCCCCTGCTCTCCTCCTGTCTCTCCCCTGCTCATCCTCTCTGTCTCTCCCCTGCTCCTCCTGGTCTCTCCCCTGCTCTCCTCCTGTCTCTCCCTGCTCATCCTCCTGTCTCTCCCCTGCTCCTCCTCCTGTCTCCCCTGCTCCTCCTGTCTCTCCCTGCATCCTCCTGTCTCTCCCCTGCTCATCCTCCTGTCTCTCCCCTGCTCTCCTCCTGTCTCTCCCCTGCTCCTCCTGTCTCTCCCCTGCTCATCCTCCTGTCTCTCCCTGCTCATCCTCCTGTCTCTCCCCTGCTCTCCTCCTGTCTCTCCCCTGCTCTCCTGTCCTCCCTGTCTCCTCCTGTCTCTCCCCTGCTCCTCCTGTCTCTCCCCTGCTCATCCTCCTGTCTCTCCCCTGCTCCTCCTCCTGTCTCTCCCCTGCTCCTCCTCCTGTCTCTCCCCTGCTCATCCTCCTGTCTCTCCCCTGCTCCATCCTGCTGTCTCTCCCCTGCTCACCCTCCTGTCTCTCCCCTGCTCATCCTCCTGTCTCTCCCCTGCTCATCCTCCTGTCTCTCCCCTGCTCATCTCCTGTCTCTCCCTGCTCTCCTCCTGTCTCTCCCCTGCTCTCCTCCTGTCTCTCCCTGCTCCTCCTGTCTCTCCCCTGCTCTCCTCCTGTCTCTCCCCTGCTCATCCTCCTGTCTCTCCCCTGCTCATCCTCCTGTCTCTCCCCTGCTCTCCTCCTGTCTCTCCCCTGCTCCTCCTCCTGTCTCTCCCCTGCTCCTCCTCCTGTCTCTCCCCTGCTCCTCCTCCTGTCTCTCCCCTGCTCATCCTCCTGTCTCTCCCCTGGCTCCTCCTGTCTCTCCCCTGCTCTCCTCCTGTCTCTCCCCTGCTCATCCTCCTGTCTCTCCCCTGCTCATCTCCTGTCTCTCCCCTGCTCATCCTCCTGTCTCTCCCCTGCTCATCCTCCTGTCTCTCCCCTGCTCATCCTCCTGTCTCTCCCCTGCTCATCCTCCTGTCTCTCCCCTGCTCATCCTCCTGTCTCTCCCCTGCTCCTCCTGTCTCTCCCCTGCTCATCCTCCTGTCTCTCCCTGCTCATCCTCCTGTCTCTCCCCTGCTCCTCCTGTCTCTCCCCTGCTCATCCTCCTGTCTCTCCCTGCTCCTCCCCTGTCTCTCCCCTGCTCTCCTCCTGTCTCTCCCCTGCTCCTCTCCTGTCTCTCCCCTGCTCCTCCTCTGTCTCTCCCTGCTCCTCCTGTCTCTCCCCTGCTCCTCCTGTCTCTCCCCTGCTCCTCCTGTCTCTCCCTGCTCATCCTCCTGTCTCTCCCCTGCTCCCTCCTGTCTCTCCCCTGCTCCTCCTGTCTCTCCCCTGCTCATCCTCCTGTCTCTCCCCTGCTCCTCCTGTCTCTCCCCTGCTCCTCCTGTCTCTCCCCTGCTCATCCTGTCCTCCTGCTCTCCTCTCTCCCTGCTCTCCTCCTGTCTCTCCCCTGCTCCTCCTGTCTCTCCCCTGCTCCTCTCCTGTCTCTCCCCTGCTCTCCTCCTGTCTCTCCCCTGCTCCTCCTCCTGTCTCTCCCCTGCTCCTCCTGTCTCTCCCTGCTCTCCTCCTGTCTCTCCCCTGCTCATCCTCCTGTCTCTCCCCTGCTCATCCTCCTGTCTGCTCCTCCTGCTCTCCTCCTGTCTCTCCCCTGCTCCTCCTGTCTCTCCCCTGCTCTCCTCCTGTCTCTCCCCTGTCTCCTCCTGTCTCTCCCCTGCTCCCTCCTGTCTCTCCCCTGCTCCTCCTGTTCTCTCCCCTGCTCCTCCTCCTGTCTCTCCCCTGCTCCTCCTGTCTCTCCCCTGCTCTCCTCCTGTCTCTCCCCTGCTCCTCCTGTCTCTCCCCTGCTCCTCCCTGTCTCTCCCCTGCTCCTCCTGTCTCTCCCCTGCTCATCCTCCTGTCTCTCCCCTGCTCATCCTCCTGTCTCTCCCCTGCTCCTCCTGTCTCTCCCCTGCTCCTCCTGTCTCTCCCCTGCTCCTCCCTGTCTCTCCCTGCTCCTCCTGTCTCTCCCCTGCTCCTCCTCTGTCTCTCCCCCTCCTCCTCCTGTCTCTCCCCTGCTCTCCTCCTGTCTCTCCCCTGCTCCTCCTGTCTCTCCCCTGCTCATCCTCCTGTCTCTCCCCTGCTCCTCCTCCTGTCTCTCCCCTGCTCCTCCTGTCTCTCCCCTGCTCCTCCTGTCTCTCCCCTGCTCATCCTCCTGTCTCTCCCCTGCTCCTCCTCCTGTCTCTCCCCTGCTCCTCTCCTGTCTCTCCCCTGCTCCTCCTGTCTCTCCCCTGCTCATCCTCCTGTCTCTCCCCTGCTCCTCCTGTCTCTCCCCTGCTCCTCCTGTCTCTCCCCTGCTCCTCCTCCTGTCTCTCCCCTGCTCCTCCTGTCTCTCCCCTGCTCCTCCTGTCTCTCCCCTGCTCATCCTCCTGTCTCTCCCCTGCTCATCCTCCTGTCTCTCCCCTGCTCCTCCTGTCTCTCCCCTGCTCCTCCTGTCTCTCCCCTGCTCATCCTCCTGTCTCTCCCCTGCTCATCCTCCTGTCTCTCCCCTGCTCCTCCTGTCTCTCCCCTGCTCCTCCTGTCTCTCCCCTGCTCATCCTCCTGTCTCTCCCCTGCTCATCCTCCTGTCTCTCCCCTGCTCACCCCTCCTCCCTGTCTCTCCCCTGCTCCTCCTGTCTCTCCCCTGCTCTCCTCCTGTCTCTCCCCTGCTCATCCCTCCTGTCTCTCCCCTGCTCCTCCTCCTGTCTCTCCCCTGCTCCTCCTGTCTCTCCCCTGCTCCTCCTGTCTCTCCCCTGCTCATCCTCCTGTCTCTCCCCTGCTCTCCTCCTGTCTCTCCCCTGCTCCTCCTGTCTCTCCCCTGCTCATCCTCCTGTCTCTCCCCTGCTCATCCTCCTGTCTCTCCCCTGCTCCTCCTGTCTCTCCCCTGCTCCTCCTCCTGTCTCTCCCCTGCTCATCCTCCATCCTCCTGTCTCTCCCCTGCTCCTCCCTGTCTCTCCCCTGCTCATCCTCCTGTCTCTCCCCTGCTCATCCTCCTGTCTCTCCCCTGCTCCCCTGTCTCTCCCCTGCTCCTCCTGTCTCTCCCCTGCTCATCCTCCTGTCTCTCCCCTGCTCATCCTCCTGTCTCTCCCTCTCTCCTCCTGTCTCTCCCTGCTCTCCTCTGTCTCTCCCCTGCTCATCCTCCTGTCTCTCCCCTGCTCATCCTCCTGTCTCTCCCCTGCTCATCCTCCTGTCTCTCCCCTGCTCCTCCTGTCTCTCCCCTGCTCATCCTCCTGTCTCTCCCCTGCTCATCCTGTCTCTCCCCTGCTCATCCTCCTGTCTCTCTCCCCTGCTCCTCCTCCTGTCTCTCCCCTGCTCCTCCTGTCTCTCCCCTGCTCATCCTCCTGTCTCTCCCCTGCTCTCCTCCTGTCTCTCCCCTGCTCTCCTCTCCTCTCTCTCCCCTGCTCCTCCTGTCTCTCCCCTGCTCATCCTCCTGTCTCTCCCCTGCTCCTCCTCCTGTCTCTCCCCTGCTCCTCCTGTCTCTCCCCTGCTCATCCTCCTGTCTCTCCCCTGCTCATCCTCCTGTCTCTCCCCTGCTCCTCCTGTCTCTCCCCTGCTCATCCTCCTGTCTCTCCCCTGCTCATCCTCCTGTCTCTCCCCTGCTCCTCCTCCTGTCTCTCCCCTGCTCCTCCTGTCTCTCCCCTATCCTCCTGTCTCTCCCCTGCTCCTCCTGTCTCTCCCCTGCTCCTCCTGTCTCTCCCCTGCTCATCCTCCTGTCTCTCCCTGCTCCTCCTGTCTCTCCCCTGCTCCTCCTCCTGTCTCTCCCCTGCTCATCCTCCTGTCTCTCCCCTGCTCATCCTCCTGTCTCTCCCCTGCTCCTCCTCCTGTCTCTCCCCTGCTCCTCCTGTCTCTCCCTGCTCCTCCTGTCTCTCCCCTGCTCCTCCTGTCTCTCCCCTGCTCATCCTCCTGTCTCTCCCCTGCTCCTCCTGTCTCTCCCCTGGTCCTCCTCCTGTCTCTCCCCTGCTCCTCCTGTCTCTCCCCTGCTCCTCCTGTCTCTCCCCTGCTCCTCCTGTCTCTCCCCTGCTCCTCCTCCTGTCTCTCCCCTGCTCATCCTCCTGTCTCTCCCCTGCTCCTCCTCCTGTCTCTCCCCTGCTCCTCCTCCTGTCTCTCCCTTGCTCCTCCTCCTGTCTCTCCCCTGCTCATCCTCCTGTCTCTCCCCTGCTCATCCTCCTGTCTCTCCCCTGCTCCTCCTCCTGTCTCTCCCCTGCTCTCCTCCTGTCTCTCCCCTGCTCCTCCTGTCTCTCCCCTGCTCCTCCTGTCTCTCCCCTGCTCCTCCTGTCTCTCCCCTGCTCCTCCTGTCTCTCCCCTGCTCCTCCTCCTGTCTCTCCCCTGCTCCTCCTCCTGTCTCTCCCCTGCTCCTCCTGTCTCTCCCCTGCTCCTCCTGTCTCTCCCCTGCTCATCCTCCTGTCTCTCCCCTGCTCCTCCTGTCTCTCCCCTGCTCATCCTCCTGTCTCTCCCCTGCTCCTCCTGTCTCTCCCCTGCTCATCCTCCTGTCTCTCCCCTGCTCCTCCTCCTGTCTCTCCCCTGCTCCTCCTGTCTCTCCCCTGCTCATCCTCCTGTCTCTGCCCTGCTCCTCCTGTCTCTCCCCTGCTCCTCCTGTCTCTCCCCTGCTCCTCCTGTCTCTCCCCTGCTCCTCCTGTCTCTCCCCTGCTCATCCTCCTGTCTCTCCCCTGCTCCTCCTGTCTCTCCCCTGCTCCTCCTGTCTCTCCCCTGCTCCTCCTCCTGTCTCTCCCCTGCTCCTCCTGTCTCTCCCCTGCTCATCCTCCTGTCTCTCCCCTGCTCCTCCTGTCTCTCCCCTGCTCATCCTCCTGTCTCTCCCCTGCTCCTCCTGTCTCTCCCCTGCTCCTCCTGTCTCTCCCCTGCTCCTCCTGTCTCTCCACTGCTCATCCTCCTGTCTCTCCCCTGCTCCTCCTGTCTCTCCCCTGCTCTCCTCCTGTCTCTCCCCTGCTCCTCCTGTCTCTCCCCCTGCTCCTCCTGTCTCTCCCCTGCTCTCCTCCTGTCTCTCCCCTGCTCATCCTCCTGTCTCTCCCCTGCTCCTCCTGTCTCTCCCCTGCTCACCGCTCCTGTCTCTCCCCTGCTCATCCTCCTGTCTCTCCCCTGCTCTCCTCCTGTCTCTCCCCTGCTCATCCTCCTGTCTCTCCCCTGCTCATCCTCCTGTCTCTCCCCTGCTCCTCCTGTCTCTCCCCTGCTCATCCTCCTGTCTCTCCCCTGCTCATCCTCCTGTCTCTCCCCTGCTCCTCCTGTCTCTCCCCTGCTCCTCCTGTCTCTCCCTGCTCATCCTCCTGTGTCTCCCCTGCTCATCCTCCTGTCTCTCCCCTGCTCCTCCTGTCTCTCCCCTGCTCTCCTCCTGTCTCTCCCCTGCTCATCCTCCTGTCTCTCCCCTGCTCATCCTCCTGTCTCTCCCCTGCTCCTCCTGTCTCTCCCCTGCTCTCCTCCTGTCTCTCCCCTGCTCATCCTCCTGTCTCTCCCCTGCTCATCCTCCTGTCTCTCCCCTGCTCCTCCTCCTGTCTCTCCCCTGCTCCTCCTGTCTCTCCCCTCTCCTCTGTCCTCCTGTCTCTCCCCTGCTCCTCCTGTCTCTCCCCTGCTCCTCCTGTCTCTCCCCTGCTCACCCTCCTGTCTCTCCCCTGCTCCTCCTGTCTCTCCCCTGCTCATCCTCCTGTCTCTCCCCTGCTCCTCCCTGTCTCTCCCCTGCTCCTCCTGTCTCTCCCCTGCTCCTCCTGTCTCTCCCCTGCTCCTCCTGTCTCTCCCCTGCTCATCCTCCTGTCTCTCCCCTGCTCCTCCTCCTGTCTCTCCCCTGCTCATCCTGTCTCTCCCCTGCTCATCCTCCTGTCTCTCCCCTGCTCCTCCTGTCTCTCCCCTGCTCCTCCTGTCTCTCCCCTGCTCCTCCTGTCTCTCCCCTGCTCCTCCTGTCTCTCCCCTGCTCATCCTCCTGTCTCTCCCCTGCTCATCCTCCTGTCTCTCCCCTGCTCATCCTCCTGTCTCTCCCCTGCTCCTCCTGTCTCTCCCCTGCTCCTCCTGTCTCCACACTTTAAATAGAGAGCATGTCTTTAGTTGTTTGATTCTGCTCTGATCTTTTATTCATCCCGTTCTTTATTAAGCTCCTTTATTTGCGCTGGTAAAAACAGCTCTCGTCTCTGTGTAGAAAAAACTCACCGGTGAAGAATGAAACATTTAGGAGTTCCCTGCAAATCTCTAACAAAAAAATAATAATTACAAGCAGAGGCAGCAACACACTTGTTTTAAGGAAGTTTCTTTTGTATTTGTCGTGATAATGGGACATTCTGATCGTAGCGTGGATGGTGCTAAAAACTTCAAAATAATACATCTAAAAAATGTTAAATATAAAATGTGAATTTACTTCCCAGACATTATTAAGAAGACAGTGAGTCCAAACCGTAGTTCGGATAACTTCAAAAATTGAGTCACTTCCTTAATTCGGTTCAAATTTTCCTATAACTTTTTGAACTCTGTTGCGCACAAATAATTAGACACACAGACAAATGACGGCGAACGCTTTACCTTCTGGGTGGAGGTAATTAAAAGTACATTTATATCTAACCTCTGTTTATGGGCATTATACAGGTTTCAGACGACTGTGCAATAGAAGTAGATAAATGTAAGAAAACATTTTAAAAAGCTCAGTGTTGTACATGAGTCACAAAATCTGGACCTTTTTCTCTATAGTTGCTTTTATGTGTGAATGCAGCAACATATGTACAGTAACTACAAAATAGTACCAGGAACTGAAAACATACCGATTCTTGCCTCATAAATACAATGATAAAAGTAAAATAGCTCCTTGCTTTCAAAACTAGTTTTCACATGTATTGGCCTCCGTCACAGCGTAACTCAGTTTGCAAAATATAAAATGGTTTCTAATGGGATAAAAAAAACAAGTTTTGGTCATTTGTTGACATTTTACTTTTACAATTCTCTCTGTTGAGTAAGTTAAGTACCCCAGCTTTAATGTATCAAGAAAGCATGATTTAAAATGTCCTTAATATGAAAACATGACGTTTAGTTGCATTAAAATCTTGGTTAATAACATTTTTAATTTTAGCAAGGGCTGAAGAGGGGTTTGGGATACATATGCGTCTGCTTCATCCAACCCCTTTTCAAACCTCTATTCGTGTGAAGATAATATACTGTAAAAGTGAAGATATGGGAATTTGTGTTCTGAAATAAAATAAACTATATGATGCCTAAGACTTTACTAAGACCAGTAAAGGCTGCTAGGTGCTTTGAATTCCACACATTTTCCAGACTAAAAGTGATCACATTAGCATCGACCTCTGCAGTGTTTATGCTCTCAGCCCTGTCAGGAGTTTTGTCGTACTGCTGCTATCGACATAATGGGGGGTATGCATTAGTGAGCTAAGAATTAAAATGATCAATGGAGAAAGAAAATGTACAGAAAATCATATACATTGATTGTACAAAGCAGATTCAACTATTCCTCCTCTACAGTTAAAGACTCACGCGGATAACAGTCCAAGTAAAACATTTGCTCATATACTCTCGCCGATTGTATAATGAACTACGCTTAACAAAGACAATGCATTAAAAGGCGATAAACCATTTTAAAGGTCAAAACGGAGACACAAAAGTCTGAACAAGTGAGTCTTAAGGTAACCTTTGAATGAGCTCAGCATTGGAGCACACTTTTTGGCACACTGTAAAGAATTTCCTTGTAATAAAACGGTAAAAAGCTGGCAAATATGGTTCCAGGAATATACTGTTTTCTCATCATGGTATTACCGTTGCTAATTTTAACGGTTAAAGACTGTTTCACTAAATCACGTTATGCCTTTGTGATTCCGGGATTTAACTGTATGTTCCTGTTCATTCACATACAACAAAAACAGAATTATAATATTCATTTTGTATTATTACACCATATGACTGTTTCTGTTTCTAAATAGTTTCATTGAACAAAAAACTACACAGTTCAAATTGTTTTACTTTAATGAACACAACTTTTCAATTATTTTTTAACATCTTCAGTTTATACAAGAAAGTAGTTGAAATCTTTACTTCTATAACATGCTTTAATGCAAAAGGATCATTTTAACTAAAGCAGGATTTTACATGTGTAAGAGGTACCTTTTACACTCATGGTTGCTCGCTAGCAAAAATGTCCCAGCGTTCCAGAAATACAACAAGTTTATGTTAAATTACGGTAATAATACCATAAAATTCCAATGTGATTATTAATCACATTGGGATTTTATGGTATTGTAACTTTTTTTTGTAATCACATTGAAATTGTGGGAATAAAACGCCACTGGATTTTTTTTCAACCAATTTATACTTAAATTTGCATGTTTGAATTGTTTTTCAAAATAACATTTGTTTAATGTTAAAATTTCATTGTAATTTTACAGAAATTTCTTACAGTGCATGTGGTGAAATCTGGTGAGAATATAAGATTAATGTCCAGGAAAATGAAACTCAAAAATCCAAACAGAAATGGGAACTGGGAAAACGACAAAGACAATGAACAAGAAACAAATGGGGAAAAGCACAGGTACATATAGACACAGAAACAGAGAAACATATATTTACAACATATGACAACAATATTGACATAGGAAGTCTAAGTCAAACAATAAAACCATAAACACAGAGAACAGAAGTCAAAATAAAACAATGATAATGATATATATATATATATTTTTATTGTACATAATATATCCTGAACAGACTCTTTTTTTACCTCTAATATGTTGCACACTTCTCTCTTTTGTACAAATTTGAGTGATTTCATCTATGCCAAATGGGACATGTAAATGTCTCCTGTGTGAGATCAATAAAGTCTATCTTATCTTCTATAAAACAAAATTGTAAAGTAAAAAATAACTAATAATCCACACCATGACCTTTTATCTTTGGTCTGCTTCTTTCAGCGCCTTTCACCTCGTTGTAATAATTTGCCCCTAAACACAGTTTAATTCATAGTTTTATGGAGCACCAGAAACTTCTGAACAATAAACATGACTTGTGATGGATGTGCAGTAAACACCTCAAACCTGTGAGCTGTGTCTCCAGACGAAGTGACAGCAGCGGCTGATCACGCAGAATAATAAGGCACCTGTGAACCCAGATATGGTTATGGAGCGAGTACATTATATCTATAAGATGCCAATGCTTTGAAGTTTTTCTTTCTATATTTGCCTGTCATAGAAAGATGCTAGCAGATTCTGTACGTAAACAAACTGCAAAGTAATAATGTGCTACTTATAAGACAAAAAATTATGCATTGTCTGTGTGTGCTCAAGATAATCACCCATCGACTGGCTAAAGTGCTAAACAGTGCCGTCCATAAGGATAACACTGATCAAAGATGCAGTAAAGAGGCCAATGGTTACTTTGGAGGAGATATAGACATTCTCAGCTCACCTGGGGCTGAGGCACTCCGTGCATGAGACACATATGAGCCATACACTACACAGAAAGGTAAATAGATATAGATGGATCCTTTATTGATCTCTGCAGGAGAAATTCAGGTGTCCAGGAGCAGAAACACATCCATCCATATGAACAAATAAATACATCATTCTAAAATGTACAAACAACACTTAGTAGCAAGAAAGCAAGTGATGGAATAAAGCTGCAAGAAGCAAAGCAGAATCCACATTCAGTATGTGGAAGAAGATGCTGTGGTCAGGTGAGACCCAAATGTAACTCCAAAATTCAGGAAAAGAGGGTTCCATAAAATCATAGAGACTGAATACCTTCTTTAAAAATATATATATATATCATAGACCATTTTTCAGTTCACATTCGGCTGGTCTTTCACACACACAAAACTGGTTGCAGAAAATGATCTATAATTTTATTAGAATAAGTATTTGTTTGGAAACTTTGATGCTTTCAGAAATGGCTTTTGCTGAGTCTGTGAGTAACCTCTGTAACGTTGCAGAACTCGTACATAAGTAATCAAAGTAAATATACTCTCTGCAGATAGGTTCAACTTACCCCCTGGGCTGTTTGACTGTTGGATTGCGTAAGAGTGAGTTTTCCATCACTTAACGATTATCCAAAAGAAATGAATGGTGTTAATCCTGCGTACGCATTAGCAGTCAGAGTGTTATTTCAGAATTACAGAGACGCACTGCTGCTTCTTAATGACATGCAAATGAATGCCTTATTAATGAGCATCTCCAATTATTTGAAAACCGTGTCTCATCCTTTGAATAAGCCGCTGACGCTGCTCACGAGCTCCGAGCGAATCTCCTCATTTAGTACTTTTGAATCTTATTGAGGTTACAAAAGTGGTTACATCTACACAGCTCTACTTTACTAAATGAGAGAGTTCTTCGTTGATTCGCTCAAAAACTAAAATGTTTCTTGAATCCACAATGTGTGTTCATGTTACCAATATAATCATTTTCAATATCGGTCCTGATGCACGCATCTCTATCGGTGCATCCAAGTTATTATTGCATGTTGATATTCTGTTCATACTGTTTTCTTTCTGGGATACAATAGTGCCTCACTCTGGTTCACCTTATGTGTCCTCGTTTTTTGTGTGCCACGTTAATGGCTAAAACCTGAATGTGTCCAGCCAAGAACAAAGAGCTGACTCCTGTGAGTTAAAACATTTGATTTGGGAGAAAAAACAAAACAAATCTTAAGCATTTGGATGTTGAATTGAGTGGATTTAGAGGTGTGGTTTTCAAACTGTGGCTCAGGGTCCATGCAACATCCAGGTCAATAAGATCAAATTAGATATGGATATAGTTTAAGCAAGGAAGGTGAGTGGTGCAGAGTGGTAGAAGGCTTAACAAACAGGTGCTCTTCAAAGACGGGGCAATCTAAGCAGATTTAAGATGTCGAAAAGAGAAAAAGAAGTCTGAGGCACTCTGTTGAAGTGAAAACAATAAAAGTCCTTTATTAAAACTGACTGCATACGCGTTTCGACCAAAAGCGGTCTTTGTCAGGCCACTTTTGGTCTTTAAAAAAGGACTTTTATTTTTTCACTTCAACAGAGTGCCTCAGACTTATTTTTCTCTTCTAGATATGGATATAGTTGTATAGATACAAATTATCATTCATTTTCAATGTTATGAAAAACCTTGATATTCCAATGAGGCCCACAGAGGAAAGTGTTGTCGATGCCTGGTCTAGTCTGTAAACCTGATTCATTTTGTGATATTCTAATTGAAAAAGCTTATTTCCACTTTTATTCTTGTGTAGCCCTAAATCACAGTTATCTCGGAGGACTTTGCAAAAGTGTTGAATTTACCAACACAGATCAGAAAATCAAACCATTCAAAGAACTGCATTGATAAAAAAACATAAAAAACACATTGGTATTGGTCCTCAAGGGGCAGATGACCAATGTGTCCATAAATGCTTTTGAATGTTGAGTGTCCTGGATGGATGGCTGGAGGGACTATGTCTCTCAGCTGACCTGGGAACACCTTGGGGTCTCCCCAGATGAGCTGGAGGAAGTGTGTGTGTGGGGAAGTCTGGGCGTCTCTGCTTAGACTGCTGCCTCAGCCACCCGGAAACTGAATGGATGGCTGTCTTCTTCCTGCCCCAGTGTGGATGGTGTTATCTGCTCTCCTCTGGTGCTCTGTGGGCAGTGCTCTGCTGGGCTGCCACTCTGCACTTGTTTCTAATCAGGTCACCATAATGACAAACTCCCAGTGTGCGCTCTCTTTCTGCCCAAGACGTTGTGAATAATTGGAGCAGAGGAGGGGTGGAAAGGGGATGGGAAGTTTTTAATTTTGTATTCATTCATGAAAATATTGTAGAACACCGGAAATGTTGAAGGCAACATATTGTAAGAAAGTAAGTGAGTAAGTAATCTTTATTTATATAGCGCCTTTCGTAGACCAGAGTCACAAAGTGCTTTACAATTGTGGGCTTTTGTGTCCCACTCCACACAGAGAGCAGAGTGACTCTTTGTTGCTTTAAGGCAAGGCAAGGCAAGTTTATTTATATGGCACAATTCATACACAAGGCAATTCAAAGTACTGAACAAAATAAGAAAGCATTAAAATTATAAATAATCAGTACATCTAAAAGAAAAACCCCTTCGTCTGAAAACTAGAAAACGTGCGTTTCAGCGTTGCCGGTCTGAAAGCACCATTAGGGAACCAGACAGCGGCACTGGATGCGCGGAGCTGGGACAAACACACAGCTGCAGAGGCGTGAGGACAAAATGTTTAGTAATTGTTGTCAGTGTCTTTATAGTCATCTATAATAATATCAGGAATTTCGCCACAAACATACGTATCCCCTTGTTTCCAAAGACATTATGCAAAATTAACGTTTTAAAGAACTTACAGAGTAACTGGAGACAACTAGTTGCAAGGCGGCTTTTGGCAACTGAGAGTAGATGATGGGAGATGATCAGTTGCCGAAATCGGTCGATGTGAGCGCTCTTACGAGGCTGTTATTCCCGAGACTGGCCTGATACTAGGAGTTGCCCGTTTTCGCCAGATTGTCGATGGGTGCGGTGCAGCAACTCATAGGCGACGGATATAATCAGTTGCCAGTCTGATGTACGCTAGGCATTACGTCACTCACAGGGTGAATGTTGGGCGGGTTTAGACTGTGATTGACACTTGACAATAAAAGCAATAGTGACTAAAACTACAATATTCAACAAGAACGCTATTAACACTACACAATTATCAATAATACAAACAGCTATGCTAATAAAAACCTACCTAAATGCTATAACTAATCGCAAACCTGACAATTGATGAAAATACTCTCTGCTATTCCTTCTCCAACTCGCAACGGGGGCGTCTGTTGGGCGGCAGGGCAACAGACGTCAGCTATCACTGCAGACGTCAGGTATCACTGCAGACGTCAGGTATCACTGCAGACATCAGGTATCACTGCAGACGTCAAGTATCACTGCAGACATCAGGTATCACTGCAGACGTCAGGTATCACTGCAGACGTCAGGTATCACTGCAGACATCAGGTATCACTGCAGACGTCAAGTATCACTGCAGACGTCAGGTATCACTGCAGACGTCAGCCTTCAATGCAGACGTCAGGTATCACTGCAGACGTCAAGTATCACTGTAGACGTCAGGTATCACTGCAGACATCAGGTATCACTGCAGACGTCAAGTATCACTGCAGACGTCAAGTATCACTGCAGACGTCAAGTATCACTGCAGACGTCAGGTATCACTGCAGACATCAGGTATCACTGCAGACGTCAAGTATCACTGCAGACATCAGGTATCACTGCAGACGTCAGGTATCACTGCAGACGTCAGGTATCACTGCAGACGTCAGGTATCCCTGCAGACGTCAGGTATCACTGCAGACGTCAGGTATCACTGCAGACGTCAAGTATCACTGCAGACGTCAGGTATCACTGCAGACGTCAGGTATCGCTGCAGACGTCAGGTATCACTGCAGACGTCAGGTACTGCAGATGTCAGGTATCACTGCAGACATCAGGTATCACTGCAGACGTCAGGTATCACTGCAGACGTCAGGTATCACTGCAGACGTCAGGTATCACTGCAGACATCAGGTATCACTGCAGACGTCAGGTATCACTGCAGACATCAGGTATCACTGCAGACGTCAGCCTTCACTGCAGACGTCAGGTATCACTGCAGACGTCAAGTATCACTGCAGACATCAGGTATCACTGCAGACATCAGGTATCACTGCAAACGTCAGCCTTCACTGCAGACGTCAGGTATCACTGCAGACGTCAGCCTTCACTGCAGACGTCAAGTATCACTGCAGACGTCAAGTATCACTGCAGACATCAGGTATCACTGCAGACATCAGGTATCACTGCAGACGTCAGGTATCACTGCAGACGTCAAGTATCACTGCAGACATCAGGTATCACTGCAGACATCAGGTATCACTGCAGACGTCAGGTATCACTGCAGACGTCAAGTATCACTGCAGACATCAGGTATCACTGCAGACATCAGGTATCACTGCAGACGTCAGGTATCACTGCAGACGTCAAGTATCACTGCAGACATCAGGTATCACTGCAAACGTCAGGTATCGCTGCAGACGTCAGGTATCACTGCAGACGTCAGGTATCACTGCAGACGTCAGGTATCACTGCAGACGTCAGCCTTCATTGCAGACGTCAGTATCACTGCAGACATCAGGTATCACTGCAGACGTCAGGTATCACTACAGACGTCAAGTATTACTGCAGACATCAGGTATCACTGCAGACATCAGGTATCACTGCAGACGTCAGGTATCACTGCAGACGTCAGGTATCACTGCAGACATCAGGTATCACTGCAGACATCAGGTATCACTGCAGACGTCAGGTATCACTGCAGACGTCAGGTATCACTGCAGACATCAGGTATCACTGCAGACGTCAAGTATCACTGCAGACGTCAGGTATCACTGCAGACGTCAGCCTTCAATGCAGACGTCAGGTATCACTGCAGACGTCAAGTATCACTGTAGACGTCAGGTATCACTGCAGACATCAGGTATCACTGCAGACGTCAAGTATCACTGCAGACGTCAAGTATCACTGCAGACGTCAAGTATCACTGCAGACGTCAGGTATCACTGCAGACATCAGGTATCACTGCAGACGTCAAGTATCACTGCAGACATCAGGTATCACTGCAGACGTCAGGTATCACTGCAGACGTCAGGTATCACTGCAGACGTCAGGTATCCCTGCAGACGTCAGGTATCACTGCAGACGTCAGGTATCACTGCAGACGTCAAGTATCACTGCAGACGTCAGGTATCACTGCAGACGTCAGGTATCGCTGCAGACGTCAGGTATCACTGCAGACGTCAGGTACTGCAGATGTCAGGTATCACTGCAGACATCAGGTATCACTGCAGACGTCAGGTATCACTGCAGACGTCAGGTATCACTGCAGACGTCAGGTATCACTGCAGACATCAGGTATCACTGCAGACGTCAGGTATCACTGCAGACATCAGGTATCACTGCAGACGTCAGCCTTCACTGCAGACGTCAGGTATCACTGCAGACGTCAAGTATCACTGCAGACATCAGGTATCACTGCAGACATCAGGTATCACTGCAAACGTCAGCCTTCACTGCAGACGTCAGGTATCACTGCAGACGTCAGCCTTCACTGCAGACGTCAAGTATCACTGCAGACGTCAAGTATCACTGCAGACATCAGGTATCACTGCAGACATCAGGTATCACTGCAGACGTCAGGTATCACTGCAGACGTCAAGTATCACTGCAGACATCAGGTATCACTGCAGACATCAGGTATCACTGCAGACGTCAGGTATCACTGCAGACGTCAAGTATCACTGCAGACATCAGGTATCACTGCAGACATCAGGTATCACTGCAGACGTCAGGTATCACTGCAGACGTCAAGTATCACTGCAGACATCAGGTATCACTGCAAACGTCAGGTATCGCTGCAGACGTCAGGTATCACTGCAGACGTCAGGTATCACTGCAGACGTCAGGTATCACTGCAGACGTCAGCCTTCATTGCAGACGTCAGTATCACTGCAGACATCAGGTATCACTGCAGACGTCAGGTATCACTGCAGACGTCAAGTATTACTGCAGACATCAGGTGTCACTGCAGACATCAGGTATCACTGCAGACGTCAGGTATCACTGCAGACGTCAGGTATCACTGCAGACATCAGGTATCACTGCAGACATCAGGTATCACTGCAGACATCAGGTATCACTGCAGACGTCAAGTATTACTGCAGACATCAGGTATCACTGCAGACATCAGGTATCACTGCAGACGTCAGGTATCACTGCAGACGTCAGCCTTCATTGCAGACGTCAGTATCACTGCAGACATCAGGTATCACTGCAGACATCAGGTATCACTGCTGCGCCAATGTTGGCGCCAGATTCAAAATTCAAATGTAGTAAATACAGGTCGCCTACAGATGGCGCCTCACGGACGGTTTTAGGCAGAAAGTTGATCTTTCAACTAATTTGCACTAAAGTGACAAAATTATGACCAGGATATGTACACAACACTATTGGACCCTCATTTATAGGATTTGAGGGTGAGTTGTCCTTTAAACTAATAACCACATGTTACAGCATAACAATGATATGATTATATTCTGCACCTCCCTCTGGTGGTATCATAGGGTCAGAGCAGGCTGATAGCTTTGTTTACCCTTGATACTTGTTTCACCATATATTTTCTTTTAAAGATATTATTACACTTTCTAAAACATCCAAAGTAAAATTGTCACCAAATTAGTCTCATTATCATTTATTTAGCCTAATTTCATTTTAAAAAAAAAAAACTTCTTTAAAGGGTACATAGTGTGCACAAATTTACTGTTATTTTATTGATGCAGTTGGCTGAATTTTTTAAGTTCCAATGAATAGAATGATCCCGTATTTTTTCCGTTGCATACGATAGAATATCAGCACGTGCATAAACTCCCCAAACCTCACCCCATACCAATCATCCATCCAGTCACCGCTCTTCGCTCTCTTATCGTTACATCACACTTGCACCATTCGCCCATAACAGAATAAAGGCCCTCTCCATATTCCTCCCCATCACCTAGACCCCTCCTTCCCCCAGTGATGTTCTAAAGCGGTTTGTAAGTGGATTGCCTCTGCGGTGGTCCAGGTGCGCGCGCTCGTACTCCCCTCCCATTACCCCGCTAATGCCGCTTCATCCATCGCGTCTCTTCTTTCTCGAACTGATCGCTACATTTGCACACAGCACGCAGACCCGCATCTCCTTCCCTCTGCTCACTTTCGACGTGCCTTATCATAAATCTCATAGGCTAATGGGACAGCTGACCCTTCTTGGCTCGAAAAGCGCACTCAGCACTTCGCCACCAACCTCCTCGTTGCAGAATGAGCCGGAGCAGTGTATCGCAAACAATGGACTTATTCTAATGTAAAAAAAAAAAAAAAGACATAGAGAATTAGTCCTTAGAAGTGCGGGCGAGGCATAATTGCGATTAATTAAGCTAGCTTCTGGTCTGCAGATTGAGTCGTTTGTGCAATTTCTGAACAGTGCGCGTTGGCCAGGTCAAGATTGGAATGGGCCAATGAAACAAACTCATTATCAGCGAAATGTGGGTGTACCATAAAAGGCAGGCTGTAATGAGCGCTGAGAAACGTCCCAGAAGGAAAATGTTTTAACACAGGTTTATGATGTGAAAAGCATATTCCACTGGGGAGTTTGCTTGGAGTTCTCCTTATGTCCACGTTTAGGTTTCCTGTGGGTGCTATTATTATATGTCCCAACAGAAAGTGTCAAACAAATGTAAAATGTTGTCATAATTTTAGAAAACTTCTCTTGCATCCGGTAAGAAAGAGCCAGAGTCATTATTGGAGACTCTTTGGGCTGAGAAAGCCGTTTTCTGTCTGAAAAAAGCTTATCTAATTTATGATAGAGGCTAAAGATGCATACATGTGAAAACTAGTGATAGAGCCACGAACTAGTTACATACATTTTATACCATAGTTCATTATTTTTTCTTTTGAAAGTTACATTCTTCAGCTTTTATATGTTTGCCAGTTTGAGCTGTATAAAAGGTACAAACAAGAAAACTGTACTGTAAAAAGATGTATATTTCAGTATTGTCAGTTTTTTTCATCAGGCACTTATTAAAACTACAATGCAGATGAGCTGACAGTAAAATGCTCATTGAAAGCAGGGATATGAGGAAAGCTGATCAAACAAAAGATATGAGTAGTGTGAGCAATCCATCCATTTTCTTCCCCTTAATCCATTTCTGGGTCAGGGGGTGGCAGTCAGAGCTGCACCCAGTACACTGTGAGCACCAGCCCCTCACTGATCCTCCTGCAGGTGGTGAGTCCACAGGAGCCCTGATATTTCAGCGGGGGCTTCAGGCAAAGTGAGGTTAAGTGTCTTGCCCAAGGACACAGCAACAGCAGACATCAGTGGGAGTTGTGAAGTACAGTAGGTCTTGTGGTGGGCTTGAACCCACGACCTTCAGGCTCAAAGGCCAATGCTCTACCAACTGAGCCAACCTAATGGCTGTGGATTCGATCCCACCACGACCCATGTCATCTGCTCCCACTAGTGTCCCTGGGCAAGACACTTAACTGCACGAGAAGGACAAACTACTTTTTGACTCCTTACAGAACCTTGCTGCACGTGTTTTGTGAGATGAAGTTAAGGACAGCCCAGACCTCACATGAACTCTTTGTAAGTGGTGCAGTGGAAGTAGGACAGTGGTGTAAGGACACTATGTAAGCAGTTTTGCCTTTTGTCCTAAAGTAAGTGAGACACAAATAAGAGCATGATGCAGCGTTACAGCAGAGCGCCTGAGAGGGCAGTGTCGCATAATGACAATCTCATTATTGTCTTCTACAAATGTAAATAACGACACGAACAAATCTGTGTGCAGTGCTCATGCCTCACAGCAAGAAGGTCCTGGGTTTAATCCTGTGTCAAAGAATGGGTCATGACTACAGATGACTACTTTCTCTACAGGGACCAAAAAGTATACCTTTAGCATGAAGAACATTCTGACAAATCAGCAAAATGTAAACCAACACTACTACTCATCTCTAGCTGCTATTATGGCTTCTAAATTCTTTTTGGAAAGTTTTGTTTTCTCCAGACAACAGTTACTTACTTACTAAAATAGCAGAATCCATGAGAGGGACATTTTTCATTCTTTATCCATTTGACATGGTTATCCATATATTTTGTAATAATCTCACATTCTAAAACATGCTCCAAGCACAAGTGTAAGGGGTAAAATGATAGGGGCAATAATGCATATTATGTGTTCTTTAATCCTTTTAAGCATTCCCAGATAGAAAAATTGGTGTGGCCCACAACACAGATGTTGATTTGGTCCACGTTTGGACCCATCCACCAGAGTCAAGATCCATTACACTAACTGCATCTATTCAGTCGGGTTGAGGGTGCAAAGCACTGACATTTTAGAAGACTAAGACCCTGTTTATACTGAGACGCTGCACAGACGTTTCCAGGCTATTAACAGAAACGACCTGGCTTCTAATGCAAATTTCTCAGCGTTCACATGCCAAGGCCCCCTCTCGGCAGTATACTCACTTCCTGTACCAGACCCTCAGAACGCACCAACATCATTCTGCCTTTTAACAGCAGCTGTGAAAATGGAAACTGAACCTAGAGCTTCGCGTGGTCTCGTTTGGACGAACAAAGGAATAGAATCTTCCTCTGTGCAGCGCTCGAAGCCCACGAAGCTAGTTAGTGTGACCGCTGCCATTGTTGTTTATGTTTGTTCTCCGCTACTGCGCATGTCCAAATTTACGTGCGGGGAGCAGCGCGGAGGCGGGGGTCAGAGCAGAGGGGGATTTCACACCTTTGCCCCTCTCGCGGGTGTGAAAGACCTCCCCGCTGTGCAGCGTATCTGAGTTGTCCCACTTTGCAGGTTGGATCTGAACACTTACGTTTTCACCCCCCTGAAACAGTCTTCGTATGAACGGTTGATAGAAACCGACATCCAACTATACCGTTTTACTGCCACATTGTCTCCGTGTAAACTCAGCCTGAGTTTGAAAGTCTCAAGGCTGTTTTAAACCTTTTATTTTGACTTTGCTGTCTTCAACTCGAAAAGCCAACACAGATCCAAACAACCTTCCCACCTTTCCCACTGTTGACCTGGGTTGAAACTCAATTGAAAACAGGTTAAAAGAACATAAAACTTTCATGAAAATCTTACTTCCAGAACCTGAGGGACTTTTCAGCTCCACAGGCTGAGGGGATGTGTGAAGAGATCTGGGTGGTCAACCTTCAAGTGTTGCACGGACTGAATTAATTCAACTCAAAAGGTGCAAAAACATCCTCTTCCTTCGTCTGATAGATTTCACACTGTGGCAGTTTGCATATTACACAGAAGGAGTACTAGCTGCCATGAGACAAATAGAAAGAATGCATGAGTAATGATTTGTGGCAGAAATTCTGGTTGCAGGTTGTATGCAGCAGAAACAGAATTTGCTCACTTGAGAATATCATTCAAAACACCAAGTTTCAGTGGATAAATAAAACAGGGAACACTAATATAACTGATGCAAGAACAATCTATCATTACTGAACGCAAGATGCACTCTGTCAAAACAAGCAGTGATTTAAGACACATTTCTCACCCTGATTACAAAATAATGCTTATGGGTATTCCTCAGGGCTCCTACTTAGCCCCGCTGTTATTCAGAGCATTTCAACACAGGCTGAATGTTCTTGGCCTGTAAATATGGTTATATCAAGTATAAAAGAGAATTCACAAAAGTCAAATTTGGCTCAAAGCCCGAGAGAGGAGTGAGAATATGAAGTTTGCCCCAGAGACAACACCACCAGCAAGATCTGTTTGTCGCTGAACAGGCTGCTAAAAGCTAACGTTGTCACTGTCCACCACTGATGCATGACTAAAGGGATGGAGCCATGCTTGCGTTACACTTGACTGGAGCCACAAACAACTTTCTTAGTAATCAACTTTGTACAGTACTTTATAAGCAAGGAGAGGAACGGGAATGAATATATACACGCATCTGAATGTGGAAATGGAAAATGTGCTCACTGATTATAGAATAGCAAAGTTCTATAATACTCTCATTTTACAGTTTATAGCTTTTATTCATTTACATGGTAATAGTAAAACAAACTTAAGACAAATCCAGGAACTCATATATGTGCTATCAAAGTCCCAAATGTTAGCTTTCCATGTATTTTCCAATTTAAATAAATCAGTACATAGAAAAGTAGTACATCACAATAAGATGCACATTAATGCATTCGGTCATTCATGGAGTAACAAATTTGTCTCTTTTTCACGGAATTTTTTTTTTTTTAAAGTGTGAAAATGAAATTGCACATTATTTCTTATATTCACTGACTTCCAAGTATCCTGTCCTAAATAGTTGTTATTCTTGTAATATTTCAACTGACTTTACTGTTTTAAATTCTGTATTGTTTTTGTTTAAATGTTGATTAATGTGTATTGTCAACCATTCAAACAGATGATACAATGTGGGGCGACAGCAGCTCAGTTGATAGAGCACTGGTCTTTGGACCTAAAGGTTGTGGGTTTGATCCCACCACGACCCATGTCATCTACTCCCACTGGTGTCCCTGGGCAAGACACTTAACCCTACATTGCCTGAAGCCCTCGCTGAAAGACCAAGGCCATGTCTTCAATCACGGAGCAGCCATCGTCCCGTGGACCACCTGCAGGAGGATCAACGATGGACTGGTGCATTGAGACTTGGGTTGCAGCTCTGATCTGACATGACACATAATACAATGAAGCTCAATACTCTTTAATTCAGACTGGCTTTTAACACTTGTAACTCTCATTAGCTATTTTAATGCTTTTAAACTTTTTTTTTTCGAATTTCTTGAATGTTTTAATGGATTTTATGTGATTTTATATTAAAGCATTTTGGTCGCCTTGAGTGTTTTAAAGGGCCCTATACATCCCATTTGATTGAATAAAATGTAGCTGCCCAGGCCCATTTCAATCAATAAACGATTTCTCTCTTTTATTAAGTTGCCCAGGATACATGTGAACTTGCTGTTGCCCCCTTGTCTCTCAAAGTCAAATGTCACACAAAGAGAGCACAGGCCAGTGGCAAAGCTGCAGTCACTGACTCACTGTGGCTGACCTTCTTTGAGCCAGAGACTGAGGCTTTGTCTAATGCTCTCTGACATACAGCCCTCACATCATCTGGGCCTCTCCGGCGAAACATACAGTACATTGTTCGCCATATCATCAAAAAAAAATGAGTAATTTGTGGCCCTTAAACAAAAATATTGACTTTGGATTTTTGGGTTTTAAAATGTGACGTTGAAAATATATGGAAAACCATGTAAGGAAAGTGTTTTGTATTTTTATTGCACAAATCATACACAGGGCAAGTAGTCCTGTGTATGTCCTTCACA